TACAAGGCAGTACATATTACAGGAAATGGTCTCTATTGTCAAAAATCCAGGGCTTATAAGGCCAGTGTGCTGCTCTTCATGGAATTATGTTGTGGACTGGGGCACCTACTGATCACACATGCAGTCTGAGATCAGATCACAGATCAAGTATGTTTGTCTCCACATGGAAATTCCAGGTTGTTACTCTTTGAAGTTATTCACACATTGCCCTCAGGTGTTGCCTGTGATGCTGCACTCGCCTTTTTTTTTCTGTTCCTCTGTATGCTGCTTTTGTCCTCTAGCAAACTTCACCAGAGTGGTATTACCTCCTTTAGTGCTTTTTCATTTGAAACCTATAGACAGCAATATATAGGAGGTCCTTTCAGCACCTGATACTTGTGTTTTGATTGCAGCTGTGCTTTCTCTGAGACCTACAAGGCTAATTAGTGTTCAGGGCCCAAGATAAGGGAGGTAGGTAAGATAAGGCAGGGTGTTGTGCCATGTTTCTTTAGGAAGAAGAAATTTAGGTTTTCATACACCTTCATACACCTTCCTTAGGTGTATGTTAAAAAAGACTCAAGCTGTTCCCAGCATGTGAGATTTCATCTCATCTCTCATTTTTTTTTTTCTATTTTCTTCTGTTGGAGTCACTAGAATGCTGCAGTCAGGATGTAGCTGTGTATTCGGTTGCTTAACAAGATTAAATGCAGTGAAAATATTTATAGTTTGTAAGTGACTGTCCAGGAGCTAGATGCCTAAGTGTTGTTTTGTACCCAGTATGGAAGGCCGGTCAGGGCAAAGAGAACTCTGTATATTGGACTGCAGGCTCCAGCGAAAGGGCAATATTGCAAAAGAATCACAATGAAACCGAATCTGTTCTCTGTCCTTGGAGCAGAGAAGAGGAAGGATACAGAAGAAGTTACTGTCTGCTGGTTTTAGGCTTGAGTGTCTTCAACTGAGGGAGAGAAAGAGACCACCCTCCCAAAGTCCACTTCCCCTGACGGATCATGCAGCCTTGGTTGCTCAGGATTTATGAATATTGCAGGCATCTGCCCTTCTTCTTTGACTACAGAGGAATATTAGTTGCCTGGTTTAAAATGTGTGGCAGAAGCTAGGTGATCTGGGTCCCTGGCTGGCAGTAGGAAGTGTTCTGGATATGTAAAAGGACAACGTTCCCTTTGGGTGTCTGCAAGAGTGTCTGCTTTTCTGGAAAACAGAGCAGTGTTGGCATGCTAGGCAGGATGATAGGATTGCCCCTGAGGAAACCTGCAGTTCTGCTATGTTCCCTTTCCTAAGAGAGGAGCTGCTTGACGTTGATCCATATCTAGTTCAGGAGCTGAAAGCTAAGCCTCTGAAAATTGCTGTAGTGGATGCAGGATTTCTTCTGGGATTTTATTTCCCAGCTGGGCTGGGATTTGCCTGCTGCAAAAGGGAGAGCGTATCATAGAGCCTCTGTTTAGCAGCCTAGAAGGCAGGGGCAGGCCAGGACAGTGGGGCAGCCAGATCATTTTGGGTATGCTCTGCTCTTACAATGGAGTGTAAAGCTCTTGTTTTACATTTGCTTAGGTTATATTTGTAAATAACTAAGAGCTGAAATACGGGGATGAAGAATGATAGGACTAAAAGCTGCATGAAACTTATATTTAAAAATATTTTTGTGTCCATTTTTGTTCTTTAAATATTAGCTTCATGTTAACTTTGAAGAAATGGTTAAATGAAGATTCACAGCATAAAAGTAGAGAAATTGAGGAGATGGAATTCGTCAGATGCTTAAAACTGTTCTTTCCGCATGCTCATATGTATGCAACTAATGAACACTTAGGAGTAGAGAAAAATCTGTTAAAGATTCAGCATTTTACAGTTCTTGTTCAAAGATGTTGTGAAAATAAAAAGGGCTGGAAAAACAATGTAACTGCTGGAGAGTGTTAACGTGGGGAAGTCCTGAACCACGTGCCGAGAATACTCCAGAGTTTGATTCCTGTCCTGAACGAGCCCTTGAGCTGTTGCAGCCCTACCAGCGCTAGCAGGGCACAGAGACAGGGTGGTTAAGCCAGTGAAGCGAGACTGTAAATATGTTGCCATGTGCCAGTACTAGCAGTTCTGTTGATACCACCATAATTTCAGTAGTACAATGTGAGGGCATTTTCCTTCTCTCATGTGGCTTGAAAAAAGCTTTGGTGGAAAGGAAGGGAATACACAGAAAGAATGAGCGAGCTCTTGATAGCTGAGAGTAGGCTGGGAAATGAGCAGGTGTTTTCTCGTATGAGTGGCCAATGCCTATATAAAACTTTTGAACTAAGAAGACAGTGACTGTATTGGAGAATATCTCAGAGGTTTGGAGAACAGGGCCTTTTCTGCTAGTGAGCAATGTCAAGATAACTTTTAAATTAGAGTATAGCAGATGCAGCCATTGCGAGCACAAAGGTGAGTGGTGCTGTGGTGGGAAGTATGATTGTTTTTTTTTTTTTTTTTTTTCCCCTGACCTGTTGATGTGGTTGCCAGCCTGCCATTTGAAGGTGAAGTGCAGTGTCCTGTCTTCCTCACATGAGCTCTTGAAGCAAAAGAAGGACTAGAGGGAGTAGACCAGCTTTTTGATACTTATCTCCCCTGGCAAGCTTAAATTGGCAGATCCAAAGTGTCTTATTTAATTGGAATGATTTCCAGAGACACGGGAAAATAACTCTGGCAGTTGCGTGGTCTTCTGTTTTACTTATCTTCAGAAACTAACTTTTTGCAGCCCCTGAATGTGAGCTAGACAAGAGAAGGAAAAGTCAAAGTGTCGTAGTGTTGTGTTGTGGGTTCCCCTCACCTCCCCCACTTGGAATGCTGATGTCTGATAGCAGAGTATCTGGTAGTTGAAGGATTTGAGAGAGGCGATGAAAGAAATGTATTTCAAAAGGCAAAATAATGAACAGGCAGTTGGTATTCAGGTTAGTAAGTCAAAAATATCTCAGCTGGACCAGCAGGCTTCAGAACTCGATTGGCAAGTTTGTGGAAAATTGTAACTTCCTAGGAATATTTTACAGGCTCACTCCTGCAAATCTTTCCTCTTCCAAGCTCTAGTTGGCTTGTCAGATTAAACTGCAGATTGCTTCTTAACCTATTCCAGGGTAAAGACACATGGCTCTTTCCCTCCATAAGTTTCACAATTCCAAAGCAAATGTGAAACATAAGTCCTTTCCAATGGTTTAAATTATTTTCACGCTTGATGCCAGAAAGTTGGGATAGTGTTGGGTGGTGATGAAACCAACGACTTCTTACATATTTTTGGCACAAGCGAAAATGGCTGGCAATGGTTCAGCAGCTCTGGTGTGGCTTTTAGTACCATGGCACCAGATTTACAACCCTGCTCCTAAATAATTAAAACCTATATTAAAAAAAGGGGTCTGGGGCTACCTCCCAGCTGGAAGACTGGAACAAGGAAGGGAAATAGAGGAGAGCATCATAAAGGAGTGGTGTGTGTGTTTTTTTTTTTTTTTTTTTTTTTTTCTCCCTTTCTCTCTCTCTCTCTCTCTCTCTCTCCTGGAAAATAATTCTGGTGAAGCCTAACTTGAACTTAAGTGCAGTGGCAGCTTTGGAAACCTCAGGTTAGAGTGGGTCTTGTGAAACCACTATGCATGCTATAAGATCAAGAAATAATGTCAATTTTGTTAATAAACTGCACCTCCCAGAAGGGTTGCCAAGGCGTTAATCAGTATTACTGCAAGGGCAGGGTTGCTTTTGAAAGGCCACAAGAGCGATTGGTCTGGTCTCTTGGGACAGGACAGTAGTTTTTATCACTCTGCATGCATGGCAGATTGAGACATGGAGGTTTAAAGCATAAACTTTTTCAAAAGGAGTGACAGTGTTTGAGAGGTCCTGGTTTCCTTGAATGCTATTGAGCTTTTAAAGCTTTCAAAAAAGAAGCACGTGCATTTCTGTTAGTGGAAATTCCACTTGTTGGAAGTACTAGGCCAAAGGGATTTCCTGGGTGTACATGAGGACTGAATTTGGCAGGGAGGCGTGGAAATGTACAATTTATAGTATTTATGTAATGTATATTATAAATCATACTAGTGCAGTCAGCTGTTGAACATACAGCATTTGCATGAATGTGCAGAGCGCTCGTTTGGATGGCTGCCTGGCTGGCACAGAACGTTATTGGGGCAGAGGTGCTCTTGTGCCTCTCCCCAAGCACAGGATAGGTGTTAGAAGCACCTAACCTAGCAGGACCCCTTTGTAAGCTCCATTACTTACCAGGTACGCCAAACGTGTGATCTGATCTGCTCTTGCAGCCCAAATGAAGCTGTCTATTGCCAGCCAGAGAAGCTGAATCATGTGTAGGGAATTCTTCAAAGGCACTATATGGCAAAGAACTGTATTTCAGAAACTTCTAATTGCAATAAAAATAATGATAGGAATAAGTACAATGAAAAACAAGTTGAAAAAACTCTCATTGTACATACTTGTTTGCTCCAGTGTATTAAAGTCTCAGTGTTGATTACTAAACCTGGAAACTCTGCTAAGTTTTGGGATGTTTGCTGTACTTTAACACTTTCTCCTTTTGTGCCAGAAGAGGAGCAGAAAAAGAGAGCATTCCTCTTAATAGGGTTTCTTTGTCTCATAAGATAGATATTTATGCTCCGGGCTAGGCTGGTGCTCCTATATGGGAGAGGAAAAATGGGATGAAAAAGGGACAGGTGTTGACAAGGGGCCTTTTGGTGGAAGGCAGGGGGATGTTTCTAAACAGGACTGTCATAGAAAAAATAAGTATGAAAAGCAGATGAAGTTCCTTGTGTATTATGCAGATTGAATGGGAACGTGACCACCCTCCTTCCTTACAATGTAAAGGATGGTTGTGATAAAATAGTCTGGATATGTTTTGGAGTGAAAGAGAAGGCAAGAGTGCAAAACTTTCTAATGCGTGCTTTTTTTTTGTTTGTTTGCTTTTAAATTTGTGGACAGGTTGGCTACATCCAAATAGGATCAGAGCACTTGCTCATACAACCAGTAAATGTGTCAGAGACCTCCTTCAGTGGAAAGGAACACTTCATCAGGCGCCGACGATCTCCAAGGTCAAGTCATCCCATGAAGCTGCAAGTACCTGATGAGCACTGCAAGGTTGTAGCAGGTGAGTTTAGGGTAGCACAAGAGAAGAACCTACGTGTGCAGTTATAGCTCTGTTTTCTAATAGGTATGTCTATTTTTAACTGAAGTATTTGAGCAGCTAACGGTAGTGAGAAATGGCAAATGCTGAACCCATTTGCTGCTTTGTACAGAAGAAGCCATGTCATGAATATAAAAATAATAAGGACATTGCTGTAAAAATAGCAGTTGGTGAGAAGTGTCATCCTGAGTCAAAGTAAAAATTTGCTTAGCAAAGCTGCCGGACTGCTGCTTTGAAAAGGAGTTCACAATGTTTCTAGGAAAGCGTTGAGCATCTGAACTGAGGTTGGTTGTGAGCAATACTGTTTCTTCTCAACTTGGACTGGAGTTATGCCACTGTGCAGAGACTTCTTGGTGAATAAGGCAATGGTCCTCGCATATCTGAATTAAGAAAGCACCATTACTGATTAAAATATCACTTGTGGTGTTTAGATCGAGTTCTTATTGTAATACAATTTTTTTCTCGCATGTTACCATTTTTAGGTCTAGCAGAATACCATCCCAAAGAGTACTTTGAGGTGTTTGGTCAACTGGACAGACTTTGAATTTTTGTTGTTTTTATTGCTTTTACATGGGCTTATGGGGATTTGAAACTGCCAGCTGTTACTTGAATGAGGTTATATTTTTAAGAAGAGACTGTTTTTTTTTTAATCTTATGCTTGGCTCATCAAACTTAACTCTCTCGCCCTTGTATTATAGGGCTTCTTGTTTCTGTGAGCAGTAACTTTTAAACTTTTTTCCCTCCCTCCCTCCCTCC